CTTCTACCTTCCATTCCTTTTTGCAGTCTGTAAGCCAGAAAACATTTCTCTTACTTGCTGCCAAAGTATAGCACTAACACAGTTGCAGAATAGTTGTGTGCATTGTCCCAAGCTGTTAAATGAAGAGGATAACAGCGTAACACGATGTACTGACTTAAAATCCTGAAGGTTGTCTCACCTGAAATGTTGTAAGTTGATCGGAATTCTACCAGAAAGAATTCAGAAGCATACCGAGTTTTAATTGTTCCAATTCAAAACAGTATGCTGCAAACGAACAAGTAAGAAGCATTCATGTAGCCTAGCCTCTCAGTAAAACTCGAGCTACCGATCTTCTGACCAACCATCTTGAGATGTGGGTAACTCCAGGTAGGGTTGTGCCTTAAAGGTTCCTAATGTTTAAGGTTAGGAAAGGAGTTGGGTTAGGTTAACTTCAGGAGTAAGGTGACTTGCATAAATTACTGAAAGTGTCTTGGAAAGTATGTAGAAGTTTGGGAGGAAGGTACAGTTGTTAGCTATGAAAGACAGTGGAGATACTCTGAAACTGAAAAGTTCTTATTTATAGTGTATCGGTAGTAGTGGTTGAGATATTCCCACCTCCACCCCTCGCTGGCTTCTGTGTAGTGAATGAAACTGGATGTTCTGTCACTGTCCAATTCAGTAAATTCTGTAGTATTAAATAGTCATTACTGTATGATGGAACCATGACCACTGTGGCCCTAGCATGCTGTTTGAGAAGTGTCTGTAAACACTGCACTCCTGTCTAGGGCTGCTGAAGCAAGAATCTGTTTTAAAATCTCATGTGTCGTTTTTAACAATTGAATGTTACGTTTTGTCCCTTTTTTTAACTTGAAGCTGTTCAGTTGTCTGTTGCTTTACTAATTTTTTTAAAGCCTTGAAGGTCTCCAGTAATATCAGGAATATGTAACTTTGTGTAGCTTTGTGTAGCAATACTCTTCTGAGTTTCCAGAAACATGGTTGCTGATTTAAGTGTACAGAAAAGATCTGGGCTTGCTTCTCCCCTGCTGTTTTTTTCCAGGCAGATAAAGACCAGTGTATGACACAAAAGAAAATGACATTGATTTTTGCTACTTCTACGTTTACTATTTTTCTCTGACACAGATGAAAGATTTTCAGCTGTGCCCTTTCTCTTCTTTAGAATAAAAATGAGAAGAGGTAATAAAATTTCTGGAAGAAAGTTCTTGGGGACGCTCTTAGTGTTTTTCTAGAGAAAGTGATGTTAAGCTACTAAGTTTGGCACCTGTGCAATTGCATCTGTGCTAGCTTTGCAGGCAAGAAAAAAGTATTCTCTGCAAGCCATATAATTAACCCATTAATAGTGGCTACATTTTTATGGTCTGCAATGCATTCTACTTGAATTGCTTTTTTTAAAAAGGCAGTTGAACTTAGACTAGCTCTTTGAGAAGTTTAGGACTGTGCCTGCAGATGTAGAGTCACAGTCAGTCAGTACACCCGTGATTTCCCCAGAAGGCCTTCCCCAATTCCAGTCACAGGTGTGTGCCACAGCAAATGAGTATGTAAGGTTAAATAGGTGGAAGTACTTTCATGTAAAGTACATACAAACATTTTTTGTGCATGGAAATGATAGTTTTCAAAAGCAACTTATATCTCACAATCAGTAGGCTTATTTTTTTCAATTGACGTGTAACATAGACTCTACTCTGAGAGAAGGAGGGGAAGAAACCTAGTGACAGTGTTAGTGAGCAAAATACATGCTGGCTTTTAACAGAAGAGGAATAAAGTACACTATCCTAGTTTGCAGGTCTTCAAAAGAAATAATGATTAATTTTGGTTTGGATAGTTCTCAGCAGTAGTAATGTTTTCAGTAAAACCATCAATGTAGTGCTTCTTTAGCGTAGAGAGGGAAGAGCTAGCTTCTGTAATTACGATCTGTAACCTCTTCTGGTTCATGAGCGTATCTGGATATGCTGTGGCATGGAAAAGGAATACCAATCAGATTATCTTAGGAGGCTGTAGCTTGCAGCAGTCCTTTATGGGCAGTGTTGTGCTTCTAAACTGGGTGCAACTGATTAATTCAGAATCTCACAGTAAATCTCTGATTGTGTTGTAAATAGTATTTTGAAATGTCTAGTAGGCTTTTACCTTTAATAAGGGAAGCAGCAAAAATGTCGCTGAATGTTTTAACCTAAATTGAAAAACCTGAAATAAATTGTTCTTGAGTGTATTTTCAGATATGACAGGTAAATAGCCATTTCCACTGCATTTTCAAGGCAGTATTTGTAAGTGTGTTTGGATATTTGAGCAGAAGTAAGAGAAGCAGTTTGAATATGGATGAGGGTGGTGGTCGTAGTGGGGTTCTTCTGTCACTTGTTTACTTTGACAGCTGTATAACTGTTTTCATAGTGGTGGGAAACTTACAGCTGCAAGGGTGACAGACTACTTAAAAAGAAATATACCGATGCACAACTTGAAAAATACAGTTGTTCTAAATGTCGCTTCCAGAAAGAATGGGGAGCACTTAAAGACTGCCCTAAATAATGACTATCCTAAACAAACACAGCTTGTCTCAATAAACTTTATTTCCTGTTTTTCCAAAAGAAAACAATATTTTGGAGTTGGTTAAACCAACATAGGTGACTGTGCTTACTACAATTCTATTTTGTAGCTAAAATCTGAAATATACTTAAGGCTTGAAAACTGAAACTAACTATTAATAAATTTTATTTACTCAAATGGACAAAAGTGAGATGGTTATGACGGTGGAAATTTTAATCTTAATTCAGTCAAAGATAGTGGTATAACATATTCTTTTTTGCCCATTTTCCTCTTTGTCAGTCTGCGAGTTGTCTGTATTTACATCACTTATGCCACCTATTCCTAAGCAATATATCTACAGTGTCATACTGTAGGATAAAATACCTTACTAATACATGGAACCTTCAATATCATTGGCACTATGTTGGCTAAACCATACCGATTCTAAATTTTAGGGGTTTTAAAAAAATTTAATTAATAAGTCACTACTAAATGATTAATATAAATGAAGTATCTGTCAGTACCAGAACAGTACATCCATTTTTCTCCCTGTGCTACTCAGCTTTCTACGTGCTAATCTTTGTGTGCTAAAGCTTTCTTGCTCTAACTTCCGTGTTTGGTGAAAGTTTAAAAAAAATCTAAAGGGCTTTCAGTTTATATAAAGTAGAATTAAAATTTAAACAGCCAACTGCTGAATATTTGGTCTATGAATTCTAGGGGGTTTTTTTGTGGTGTGTTGTTTGTGTCTGTTTTTTGTTTTTGTGGGGTTTTTTTTTAGTAAGGGCATTAATGAATGGTGTTACTACTAAGCTATTCCCCTAGGAATAACTTTAAAACATTGAAGAAATGAAGCACGTTGAAATGAGGTTTAACTATACAAGTACTGGGAAGTAATTTGTCACTTAAGGCAATATAAATAAGTGCTACATCCCTACTTGCTGAAGAATGTTACTTAAAAAAAAAATTAGTAACTTGAATGTAACAGCCGAATTTATAACTTCAAGTGCTCAAATAGCAAAGTGATGGTAATAGTATAGTGCTATTTCCAGTACATAGTAGAGGGATTTGGAACAATGTTTGTTTGGTTTTTTGTTTTGTTTTGTTTGTTTTTTGTTTTTTTTTTAAACCCAAAAGAATCACAAATACACTGGAAAAATGCACAACAGTGTTTGCTCTGTTTGTTTCCAAATATTAATTCTTATTTTGGTTAGCCACTTTTATTGACTTGTTATTCAAGGTACAATTGCTCTTCAGAATCCTGTTGTATCCAGAAGCAGGAGATGATTATAGTTTTGATAGAAACAGATTATCTTCAGGCAAGCAAGCCTGAAGGAGTAGATTAAAAAAAAAAAATTTAAAAATTGCAATTTGTGAACAGGATTCAAGTGTGATGGTGATTTGTTGCCCAACAGTAGTGAAATTCCACAAAAGTGCGACTTCCATTGCATTCTAGAAGTGTGAATACTATTTACAGCACTTATTTGGGAGCATCTGTACAATCCAAAGATAAAATTGAAGGAAAAATCTGAAAGGTGTATCCTAGACTGAATTTGCAAGGAGATTCACATTCCAGCCTTGATTCAGTTTTAAATTGAAAACTGAGACTTCCTTTCATTTTGGAAATGAAAATTCAAAAAAAAAAAAAAAAAAACACAAAACACCTAACATATTACGAAGTTAATCAATGAACTAATGACTCCCCACTCCTGCACCATTGGGCATCCCCTTGTGAATCTGTACGAATACTGTGGTTTTTTAATCAATTTTATACTTGCGGGCTAGCTGGATAAAATTCTAGTTGACTTGTGATGCACTGACTGCTGGGTCACCTTTCACAGATTTTAGAGAGAAGGATGTAGTTCTGTCAGATTCTATACTGATGGAGTTGCTTGTACATGTGTGATTAAAACCAACAAAAATACTGTACTATGATAGCCTGCACAGTTGTAAGCATGCCCAATTTAATGTTTTCAACTAGACTTAAACATAAATCTTAATTGTAGGTACTCGCTACCTTCAAAATGCTATCTGTGAGGGCTGAAAGCGTGCAGTTCCCAAGTTTTGCATATAAACCTACATTACTAATAATGCTGTAGTTTCACAAAGTGAAAACAGTGATGCCATTTCTTCCTGTAATTTCTTTTTAATCAGTTGTTACAGAGTTTTTGGTAGTTTTGATTGTGTTTTGGTTCCTTCCTCCCTCCCCCCCTTTTTTTTTTTTGGTATCTTGAGCTAAATGCAGCAGAGCAATTAAAGCCTATCTACTAAAAAACAGCTTAAAAGGGAAGGCTTAATTTGAACAAAAATTTCTAGGAGGGTGATAGCCTTTTTGCCATAAAGGTGCATTTAAGGCTCTTAGGAATTTGTTGTGGTGGTTTTTTTGGGTGGTTTTTTTTTTTTTTTTTAGGATTATAAAATAGATGTGTTTATATACACAACACCTACATATTTTGATATAGTATTTTCTCGTTTTATATTTTGTTCAGCATTTACAGCCGAACAATACCAGCAACATCAACAGCAACTGGCACTAATGCAGAAACAGCAGCTTGCACAAATTCATCAACAGCAAGCAAATAGTAATTCCTCTGCCAACACATCACAGGTGAGGGATTTGTCCGTGCTATGATTTATCCCTCATTGTTTCCCACCAGGGTTCATCTCTAATTGTCAACTGTTGCCATAGAACCTTGAAACTAACCAACAGGAAAGTGGCTTTCGCCTGAATCTACATCATAGCCATTCTGTAAAGTGTTTAGAAGGGACACTGCAGGTGAGTGTGGCAGGCATTGCCTCTGCTCCCTCTTAACAAAAAAAAGATGGGTCAGTCAATTAATGAAATTTTCAAAGCCTTAGAAATATGAATTGCAGAGATCTCCAGCCATGTCATTATCCTCGATAGTGGGGGATTTTTAGAGCAGGATTTTTAGTTAATAACTAAAGCTAACTCCTAAATATGTCCTCCATACAGCTGTGCAAGTGTCTAATATTCATAAATGTGTAGTGTTTACAGTGGTGATGGACACATAAAAAGGTTCAGAAGTTGTTGGCAATCTGAACCTCTGAGTCTCTGAATTGGGTTTGGAATTTCATGAAAACAAGTTGACCTGTGAAACAATGTTGTTCCATAGAACTTTGGAAATAAGTTTCTTTGTATTTTAAATAGTTGTGGGGATTTTCTTCTCCATTGTTATAATGGAGCTAAAGGTGCATGGAAAAAAAAATCACAGTTCAGATTCTAACTAGTTGTACCAAATGCTGACAATTTGGTCTGAGAGAGTGACTGGGCCACAGTTCTGATTTACATGTATTGATTTGTGTTTTACTAGTTTGTGTGTAGCTTTAAAATGGGGAGAGTACTGACTTTTGGAAGCCTCCATCACATATATTTGCCACCATTGTTCTTTTTAGGGTTTTGTTTCCAAGACACTGGATTCTGTTAGTGCTCAATTTGCTGCTTCAGCTTTGGTTACATCAGAACAACTGATGGGATTCAAAATGAAGGATGATGTGGTGCTTGGAATTGGGGTGAATGGCATTCTTCAAGCCTCAGGTATGCAACTCTTTGACAGAATTTGATTGCATCTTGATTTTTACAGTGGAGATATGTCTGTCTGGAGTTGAGTATTTTCTGGAAAATGAGCTTACTGTTTTATTTTTCTTTTGCAGGAGTGTACAAGGGCTTACACCTCAGTAGTACTACACCTACAGCACTTGTCCATACAAGTTCATCATCAACAGCAGGTTCAGCCTTGTTACAGCCTTCAAATATAACGCAGACTTCAAGTTCCCACAGTGCACTGAGTCACCAAGTTACTGCTGCCA